ATTTATGACAAAGTGAACTTTGAGCCAGTCGAGAAGCAAAACAAAGCTGTTTTACTTATTTGCTTTCTATATATATCAAAATCATTTGTAGCTATATATGTATATAAAAACTGACTGCTTTGAATGGTTTCTAACGCACAGTCCAAACAAAGAGCTACAAAGTTGAAATTTATACTGTGAGCAGTAAAAAATTCGACCTTCAAGTGAGGAAATAGCTGGTCAAAGTTTGAATGAAAAACATTAAAAACAACGCATCCATATAAGTGTGCTTTGTTAACATGACATTGTGAGCCTGTGCGAATCGACTCTGTACTCACAAGCGAGAGGTCGCCGGTTCAAATTAAGCAGCAATTGTCAATTATTTTGTCATTATTCACAAAAAAAAAACAATAATAATAAATGAAAAAAGAAAAGCAGTGGAAAACGAATGGGCCTTAACAATAATTATTAAAAATCTGCTTCTGTTTTGTCAACTATGTTGAAAATATGTGTTTATTTGATAAATTGAAATCGATTTGTTCAATTGAGCCAGAAAGTAAAGTAAATATAAGCACAAGGGAAGAAATTAGTTTTTAGGCAGGGCTTAGTTAATTTGTTGATTGGGCCGCAAAGGGGACAATGAGCCGCTGAATGTGCTAAGACCGATGTGAAGAACCGGAATAAGATATTGAATCCAAGTAGTTTGAGTGGATCACACAAAGATACTTTATGTGGTAAGGTTATATAAATGCTCACTCTAATAACATTAGCTTACTTTGACTTAAGACAGCTCAAGTTAACTAATCAATAACTAAGACCAATATTAGGAATATGTTTTTGAAGAATGCCAACTTTGGAAATTCTGCATGAAAGTTTCCAATAGTTTTTAATCTTGTTAAAAAGGATCACTTCCAAAAATGTGTTATAATCCCCAACAACTGAGTCACTGGATGTGATACTCACCAAGTGGCTCAATTGACAAAATGGGTAACATTTAAGGTTAAAAGTACATTGGCAGTAAAAAGTTGGCGACAAACACGTTTAACGAAAATAGAGATATCAAATTGAGTTTCGGCGCATTTTTCGAGAGAAAATACGAAGCAATAATCTTAGTTACTGTTTGTATAGATCCCTTTATTACTAACGAGATTGACGCATGGCCAGACAAATGCAGCAATCAATCCTTGCTGCTGGCAAGGATGCAGTCCTTGCAGTACATATAGTACATGTGTGTATGTGTCTGCACCAGAAAAAAAGAATAGACAATCGGATAATGCCAATGCATCAGTGCAAATATACACAAGTCTTACCGGTTGATACAATAGCATTTATTTTGAAAGGAAAGGGTTAAATAGCCAAATTGTCGAGGTCGCCGGTCTTTGATGTAGACCCTGCCGATGCATTTGGCATTTTATTTTGCCTGCTTTTCGCACAGCGAATTTCTTCAAAGTTCTTTCATTTGAAGTAATGCCGAGTTTGATTTGTTTTGATCTAAACCGCAAAATCTGCAATAACATTTTATCTCAGAGAGGCCCGGAACCTCGCCTGCCTCTGGCAAAGTCCATAGTGAAGGGTCAAAATTGCACAGGCTTGAAAATATCTAAGTCTGAATATATATTTAAAGCCGATCAGACGAAACTTATAACTTCTCCAATAAAGCCTACGGTCTTCACACTTTTATGCAACCGCTTTCTGCCAATTTTCCACATTTGCTGGTGGAATTCCATAATCGAAACACGTATTCATGAAGTTCTTATGCTGAACTTCACAATAAGTTTGAAGCTCATCGGAGAGACTTGAACCTTTCGCCATTCAACACTCAACCCACTTTATCACTCCATTAGGGGAAGGGTTCTGTGGATTTTCCGAAAAGTGTGGAATACGATACAATAAATTTTCATGAAGATCTATAAATTTGGGCATATCACAAATTAGTTAGTGAGTCAGGAGAGCCAGTTTTCTAAATATTTATATAGAAATCTAGTATTTCTTGTACATATAAAAACTTGTACAAACACCAAAAAGTATTAAACACATTCCAGCAAATCCCTTGCTCGCATGTGTGTGGCCCCGAGGTTATATCAAATTGAAATAGAACTAGGAGTAACTCAGTACAATGGAAAGCTATCACTGCTACCGCATCGCATTCAGCAGCCGCACAATTTCCATTGTATTGGTGATTAATTTCTAGCCTCCGGGCAGCCAGCCGTCTGGCTGCGCTGGGTAAGGCATTTTTAGACCGCCACAGAACTACAGCTTGAATGCTTTGTAAACAAGTTGACAGACAGACATCTAAGCGGGCTGTATTGACGTTTGATGAGCGGATTATCAGCGTGCGCTTCATTGCGCTCATGCCTCCTGTCTTATAGCCAGGTCAACAAGTGTTGCACGTTTCTCACCATGTTGCTGCGCCATTTACTGGATGCCACAGGACGCTTACTTGCTGCACTACCGCTTTGCAAGTGGTTGCAATTGCGCAATACAAGCTATTATATAAGAACTTAATCATTACGTAAACCGACGATCTCATTATGTTTGCCTCAATAATAAAGATATGCAATTTTTATACCCTGTTCCTATTGAATATGCTATTAGCATATTATAGCAGTATATCATCGGTATATGCCCATTTCTATTTAATTTTTCTTAAGGCATATCTCGACGATTAAAAGAGTAATATCGTAATAATGTACTTACCTGTAAATACTCATGCACGATTATTTTATCGTCATTTATCAGTAGGCGGGAGACGAACTTTTATATAAACACACAACTGAAACAAAAAATCAGAGACAATTTGTATTAGTTTACAAACGCAACATGCATACATATTATTGTAATAATATTTACTTTTATTTTAAATAGAATAATAATAAGAATAAAAGCTGCCTCCTCCTCGTAAAGTGCACCCTATGAGACTTACTTGAATTTATGAGAATCGCATAGTAGGGCAGCTAGTCGTAAACTTTATCTTGCATATAAACATATATATAATATATATATATAATATAATGTGTGTGTATCATAAATACATACACACATACATCAATATATATATGTATATATACATACATATACACATGCATATATACAAACATATACACACATGCATACACACATAATAACATACATACAAGCATATATATACTTCCCGGCCTTGTTTTATGCTTAAAATTTTATATGTAACTTTTTCATTCAGCTCTCGCCCGTGGAAAATTTGAATCTACTAATAAATTAATTAATCTACTAACTTAGTCGAGCTAAGACACAAAAATTCGAAGCAACTGTTAACGCCCATATTAGTCTTGCGTGTTCATTAAGATTTTGTGTTGTGCTGAATTTCAAATTCAGAACTTCCCCCAAGGAGAAATTGAAAAACTTTTATATAAGCTTTTCGGATAAAAATAAATGATTCAGACGTACAGGGTATTTCATAATTATAATTTTTGGGTTTTTTTGCAAACATTGCCACGATTCTGTTTAAGTCGCAAAGTCAGAGGCAAGATTGAAAAACGTGCATTGTCTTCGTAAATCCCACTGCAAGCTGCAGGATTCGAATGGAAAATGTTGCCACATGGGCCACGTGCGATAGGGTACCTCTCAACAGCAGCTCCTCGATTTACAGTGTATATTCAGAGTGTGTGTGTTTGTAGGTAAGCGTATAACGAGCTTCTGTTTTTGCATTTTAATTTCCGGCCACGGCCATACGTCTGCGTGCCAGTTATGGAATGCATTGCATTGCCGGATTTGACGGCATTGTTTGTTTGTACTCAAATCGGTTGCCAGACTTCTGTTTGTGGCACAATTATTTAAATGAGATTACGAGGAGATTACAGAACGGAAATGCCCGATTAGTATTATCTCTGGAACTGGGCCAGCCTTGGACTGATGCTACTGCTCTTTTCATTGCAACCTGCTCATTTTACGGATTATTTTCTTGCCCCAGTGTCAAACGTTCACGAGCCAATTTGTTTCCTTTGGTATTCCTCTGATTGTTAATTGTTTTGTTCGTTTCTATGGCGAACTGTTCGTCGCTTTCATTGTTGCCTAAATGATTATACGTCGCCCACAACAATTGATGTACAATTTGTTGCAGCTAATCCGCATTTTCATTTGACTGCTAAGCAATTTACAGTTTAGTTTTTAGATAAATTTACATACATACACATAAAGTACAACTCAAGCATACTTGAGTTCATTGTAAAGCTCATGGCAAAGCAAATGCCAAATATAAGAAAAACAACAAGGACGGCCATCTTTAGCACCCTAAATATCCCTTGTATAAATATAGGTTTTTGCAGACATGTCAGTAAATAATGCTGAGCTTGTATATATCTGAAAGTTTGTTAAACACGACTTTTAACTTTAACCTTCGATCAATACAGCTTTAAGAAAGAGGAGCCCGTTGTTTCTTATATCTAGGAAACAAAATGAAACCAATAAATGCCAAGTTTGGTCAAGTTATTCATACAATATCCTACATTTTCACCAATCATTCCTAGATGTCTCCCAGTTCATGCCGAAATTATAATATCCTCTGCAAGGCTATAAAAAATACCACAACCGTAAACTCTACAAGTGTAGTATCAGACAAGTATGTATATTTGTATTATTTTAAAGGCAAGCTAAGGGAATAAGCTACAGACAGGTTTCAGACGCAGGTTCAAATAAACACTTAGAAACTATAAACATGGAATACATACTCGTCTATACTCGCTCAGAGCGTGGCCGGACAAAAAAGTCTATTACTTTAAATTTGAGAGCTAAAATGACCAAATGTGGATAGAAGAATACTAATGAGCTTTTCTAGAATCGATCCAAAAATAGAAACGGGAAAACCGATTTCGTAATAAATCCAGTACCAACCTGACAAAATGAATGTCGGACCTCTGCCCGGCAAATTACAACCGAATAGAATTAAAATGTGCGAGTTGAGTGTGTGCGAGAATGTGTAGTAGTAGTTTTAGGCATTTTACACCGAACGTCCCATGAATCTCAGATTATAGGTTCTGACACTTGAATTATCATGTCAATGAGAGTGGTAATAAATTTATTTTAGATGATAATTTGCATATACAGTATAATGTGTTTAACTGCCTCGCCTTTCACAGTTAAAAAGGGCAAATGTCCCAATGTGCAATTCAATTTATATTTTCCTAGTATTTTAAAGGTATGAAAACCTTTTGTTGGTGTGAAAATATTTTTGATAGAAGCTCGAATTTGTTGGCATAAAATAATTATAATTGGGCAGCTGTATTTAATGTGCACTTTACTATTGAGGCAGTTAAACACATTATACTGCATATGTGAACTGAGAATTTGTACTAGATATATTCAAGTGTATTTCAGCAGGCCATTCGCATCATTTGTGACTCGATTCTTTCCAATATTCTATTTAGATTGCCTACAAGGTCCGTCCTTGCATGGATTCTTGCAGCCATGTCTATCCTTGTCCCTTACCTCAGGACACTTTTTCTTCGGTTCCTCTATAAAATAAATTATGTTTTTGCGCACACGGTCCGCACTCATTAGAATACGTACTCTTAAAGCAGCCTTTGAAGAACTGTCCATCGTCAGTACATCTTTCTCTATAACTGTCATCCTTCTTCCTGCTCATCTCGCGACACTGAATAATATGTCTGGGATTGCTAACGCGGCACTTTATGCTGGAGGCCATGCGAGTCGCGGCACCAGTCATGCGGCTTAGAAAACGTACATTCATATTGGAATTTAAGAAAAATCACAGAAGCAGCTGACCCGCCGATTTAAGTATATATATTAAGGTGTTATCGAGACAAAAGATCTGAACAAACTGATGTTATATAATTTTAATGCTGTAGAGCTTAGCTTTTGATGAAGGAGTTTTCATCGCATTCTCAGCACTCGAATTAAAATGTATTTTAAACTGGAAGAGAATTAATAGAAAAATATCTATATGCATAGATTCCTGATATTTACTCTTAAAGACATATCAGCTCAGAGCCACAAAAGCAATGTGAGCTTCATTTGTGTACAAATTTGGTTGCCCTGTTCACAAGAATAGTCAAATTTCCTACGATTGTAGAGCTAGTTCCATTTGATGTTAATTCATATTTCTATTTGAGAGTCCCTTACTAGGAATACAGATGCAGCTCTTTTCACCTGTATGTAGCTGTTTTTGTGTACCGAACCGAGTATTGCGTTACATTCAATTTAAAGTCAATCGTATGAAAAAGAAAAAGTTGCCAGTCAATAGTTTTTCATTACTCGCTCGCAGCGTGGACTTTCCAGAAACAATAAAACAAGATTGCATTCTTAGAATTTTGTCTATTCAACGTTAGTCCTTCATTTTTCATCCAAGGGGGGAATTGGAGGAAATCTATTGATTACAACCTTTGTTGTTCATCTTTTCGAATAAGACTCAATGTCAAAGATTTGAATAAAGAGTGTGGGCCTGAAAGTGGGACGGGTTAATTACAATTTTCTCACGCGCGAATGGTGCGTGTTTAGTTGACTTTCCAAAATATTTAATCATATTTTATTCTTTCCTTTGAAATACATTCATCTGCAATCAAGGTCATGCCAGAAACAGGAATTTTTCTGGGCTTGGTTTTGGCAATCTTTTGAGTTGCATAACGATAAAATAAAAATTATAATGCATTAAACAAGAACTTAGCAGTGCCGAAAGATTTGAAGTGGTAACAATGAAAAGGCCATTAATCAAGGCTTAACAAATTAAACTAAGTGGAAAATTTTAATTTGATATTACGCTTGAACCCGTACCCGTACCGGGCCGGGCCCGTAGTGGAAACAACAACTACCCCTGACCACTTTACGCATAATAGGGGCGCCTTTTCCCGGGGGTTGACACTCAAATGCCAATGATAGCTGCAAAATGCGAAACTATTAAAACGCCTTTTGGATGCAATTTTACGCCATGACATGGACACATAGAGGGTGAGGCCACTTTTTTGGGTCGCTTTTCCACAATTTTCTGCCGCAATTCGTTGGGATTTCCTCACATACGAGCATATGTATTTCTGGCGTTGAAAAATGGGCTTGGCCGTCGTCCTTTTGATTATAGTTTAGGTGTCAATTAGCAACGGTGCGGTTGGCTGCCTTTCAATGATACGAAATCTATGCATTACCAGAAAGAGCCGATAATCCAGGATTTGATTAGACAATATTTGTTAAGCCAATGCAATTATTGGCAACGGGCCATTATCAAAACAGGACACATATAGATTTAGCTTTTGCATGAAAAGCGCACACGATCTGCTGGCAGAGATCGGGATGCACAGGACATCACATCACATACTTGACGAATCCCTGCACATATGTATGTGTATAAATCTGTCCCTCTGCACAATACGAAATACGGAGAACGTATTTTTATGATGCCGAACTAATTTGGGGGTTGTTCCTTGTTTTTTTTTTTCTCTTTGTTTCTTGTCTCTCTTGCACTCGAAGGATCTTCTGTGTTTTGGTGTCATTTGCTACACGTGCTTAAATTCATTTAATTTATTTAATACTTGAAAATACATTTATTGATTACTTGCGAAAGAGACGCACCCTCTGTCTCTTTTCCCCGCCATGCGAGATAATCGCCAACCCTGGGCATGTCATTGAGGGAACTGCTCAAACTACAGGATTGGGTGTGACTGCAAATGAATTCTTATTTTGCGTTCGATACGCTGCGTAACGAGTAGGCCCAGTTGTCGCCTCGTGGGGATTTCCAAATCATTTGCTGATGCCCCTGCGTCTTTGCTTTCCTTACCCGGGCATATTAATCTAATGGCCCAGGGCGGTAGAAGCAGAAGTGGTATGGCAACCAACTACATACTTATGTATGTATATATGAAATAAATGTACATATATGGCATGTCTGCTTATATATGTATGTATATGGTCACAGACCATAATTAAGCACTAGCTGCTTTGGGCACCTTCTGCTATAAGCGAGCTAGCGGTCATCGCGGCGCTGACTGATTGGCTGACACATGTCCTTAGAGGACGCTTTTAGTGCGGTTTCCATGGTCATTTTCCGCCAGGTGATGCACGCGCATAATTAATACCATGCCAAGGCAACGAAACTCAACCGCACGCGTGTCCGGCTGTGGCTACTTTGCTCCGGACGAGAACTGTGATTGCGGTGTCCACACGTAACATCTACCATGCACATGCATACCTCTGTATATATATGTATGTGTGTGTGTGTCAGTGTGTACTTGTACTTGTATCGGAGTGCTCTGCATGGCAAGGGTGTTAGTCTAAGCGGATTACTGTACGCCTGAATGTGCGGCGTGCAATGCTTGTGTGGGTTCGGTAATCGGAAAATGTGCACATAGCCAACTTCATAGTCTAGTTATAAGGGCGGATATGGGTATGACTTCGACAGGGAGAATCTAATGTAACATCTTCGGCAGAGCACAGCAATAAGACCTTTCTATTCCTGCCAAGGCCTAAGACTTTGGAGTATCTAATACGTGACCCCACAGCAAAGTGTGAATAGGTCGAAAAGAAATTTAGCGTTAAGTCAAGGTTTAACAACAAACATGAGTGGCCTGGGTCCGGCAGCCTGTTGGCTGGCGCACAAGCGCATTGAGTCTTGGTCTCGCATAGCCAAGGAGCGCGTTGGTGCCGTTCGTCGCGTTACGCTCGACCGCAACTCGGCCGACGAGAGCAGCGGCAGTGGCGGCAGCAATGGCTGCACCCAGATTTTGCCGGGAAGTGAGGGCGCATCCTCCACGACGCCGCCGCCGCAGCCGATGACGCCGCCGCCATCGGCCTCGTCGGTAACCTCGACCACCAGCGGCATAGGCAGTGTTTCGGCTGGTAGTGGCAGCGATAGCTGTGACTTGCCCACGGACTCAGAGGTGCTTTGCCAAAAATCGCACGCATCAAGTACAATCATTAATGCTCCTTAATCCTTGTTATTGCAGGAAGTCAATATTTCGAAGGAGTCGCATCCCATACAACCGGCCACACAGCTCCATGGAATTCCTTGCGTTCCCAACCATCCGATTCCGGCCGATATACTGCGTGGTCCCGCCGAGGTTTTCCACAGCCCCTTGCACTTGCACCACCAGAGTCGATCCTTTCCGCCGCGTCTGCAGCGCACGCCCTCGATTTCCAGCCAGAGCAGCATAGACAGCGCTCCGTCCAGGCAGTCGGTGAGTTTAGTGTTCGGGTTTCGGTTATCCTTTACAATTATGATATTGACGAGCTACAATTACAGGGTCATCGCGGCTCCTCTCCACAAATAAGGACATTCGGACCCGATGGACGTAGCTCACTACCTAGCGAGGCAGCATTCCCACATCATCTGGCCCGTTCGCCCAGTCCCATGCGGACCATTTCGCTTGACGCACGCTGCGGCAGCCCGGCTTCGATCGATGCAAGTGTCTTGCGGACCCCAAGTCCCTCCCAGAGTAGCCTGGCCTCTCTATCAGGCCCAGGCATGGTTGGATCTGCGCCCAACATGATTATGAGTACAGGTGCTGGATCTGTTGTCTGCAAGGGCATGGGTGTAGGCATGACTGGCAATCGTTGTCTATCGCCTTTGCTGATACCTCCACGTCCTCAGCCAGGCATTGATCCAACTGTGGGCCCTGCTTCGCCTCTTGGTGCTCTGCAACCTGACCTATATCGGATGCCCGATGGGCCGGTCTATCTGACAGCACCCGGGACGAGCCACGCCGTGGGTCGTTTGCACTTGCGTGTCAAATATGATTACCACCTTTTCGATTTAACGGTTCATCTAATTGAAGGTATGTATTCCCACAATATACCGAAGGAGATTAGCTCAACTCTGGTGCTCCATTGCAGCACACAATCTGAGCCCCATCGAGGAGGGTGGCTTTCGGGATCCTTATGTGCGTCTCATGCTTCAGCCAGGCGTGGACAGCCGCAAACGTCAAACGCACATACACCGCGGCGAATCGAATCCCTACTTTGATCAGCATTTTAAGTTCCCGGTTTCACGTGACCAATTGCAAGGCAAGGAACTGGTCTTGCAGGTACTCGACTACGATAGGTACTCGCACAACGACATTATTGGCGAAGTGCGTATTTCGGTTAATGGCCTGGATTTGTCAAAATCTGTTGAGGTGAGCCTTGTCTTTGGCGATTCCAAAAATAATACTAAATCCTATTGGTCGTGACTTTTCTTAGATATGGGGCGATTTACTGCGCACTAAGAAGCCCAAGGAGGATCGCCCGGAGCTGCTGTGCTCTTTGAACTATCTACCACAGGCTGAGCGCCTGACCATTGTAATAATGAAGGCCCGAAATTTGGATACCGTGCAAGAGCCCTATGTCAAGGTATGTATATCCTGTGTTAAGAATTGATTGATATATACATATACATAATGCAACTCACAGATTTATCTAATACAAAACGGCAAGCGCATAAAAAAGAAAAAGACAAGCATCACCAAATCTGACGATGCTAGCAATCCCATCTGGAACGAGGCATTTACATTCAATCTGCAATCAAATTATTTACACAGTGCCGCCATTGAGGTGAGTAGCCAGCCGATAATAATTCATTTGGCCAAATTGTCAATTAAATTTGGTTTTAATATATGCAGATATATGTGGTCGGCGCGGGCAGCGATGCAGCGGAAATTGGCTGCTGCGGACTTGGCCCGCAGGAAAGTGGAACGGGCTGCCAACATTGGCACGACATGATTAACAATGCCCGCAAGCCTACAGCCATGTGGCACTACATTCGCTAAGCGAGCGGGCAGCTCCACATAAATATGCTTCAGTATGAAAATAAAATCACATTCAATGATTGAAGCTCTTTTCAAGCTGCTTTTAAAGTACAAATTCCAATTAATACGCAGCCTGTCTGTGTTTTTTAACTAAATTTGACTAGAAGAAAAGCTGGAAAATAACCTTTTGTGACACGAAATGCTAGTACATATAATTTTATAGATTAGTTTTTCCTATGGTGTCCAAATGTAACAAGAAGCATAGCAAGCGAACCTTGTTATGTTCAATACCTAGTACTATTCTGACATATATACATCTATATTAATATGCTTACAACTTGAGAAATGCACAAGCTCAATCAAAAGTTCCTATGATACACACGAAACGAGCAACCGACCCAAATACGATCCATGGTTCAGCACTCAGGATCTAAGAAAAAGGTTGCGAATCAAAGAAAAGAACTGTCAACCGAGTTGTTGACATTTCAGTCGGCTTTGACGAAGAGTATTCAAGTGTGCATTTCTTCAATAATTATGAATATAAAACATTTCAACAGCATTTCATAAGCTAAATGGTCGTCAATCATATAGCACAAGAACTACCCTCAACGCGCCATGAAATTTGCTTAGACCACAACCGGAGGACGGACGACGGACGACGGAGCTGGGACTCTTTGTATTGGCGACAGTTGACAAATTGGTCCTGTTGTCCTTTTTAAAGCGTCAGTTGCATAGAGCGTATGTAAGTGTGTGCATTTGCGCGTATGTATGTGCGTCTTCGAGTAACTCTCAATAGCTGACAGCTTATGGTGCGTGTGGCAAAAGTGTTTGCAATAAATTAAATGCCAATAACTATGGCTAATTGTTTAATTAAATAAATGTTCCTTCCATTGCTAATACGTGTACGTCTACAAGCTGAAGCCAGCGAAACGTTTGCGAAGCATAATGAATAGAATACAACGATAATAAAATAAATTCTTAACTATTTGTCCATGTTAACCACATACATGCATACCTACAGATATATATAAATATATATATACATATATATATATATACATATGCATATATGTGTGTGTATTGTGTGGTATAAGAAGATATATGAACTGTTTTCTATTTTCTTCATGAATATTATCAATCTATTTTTGATGTTGTATTAAATATGAGGGCCATAGTTGCGCCCAAGCATACTGTAAAATATTATATATATATACATATATGTATATAAGAAATAAATGAATATAAATACAATATATATACACATATATACAATACGCAACGCCACGATCCCACTTATTATCTTATTGCAACTGCTATTGAAAACCTAAAGTAATTTATATTTTAAAGACTTAGGGGAAATCTAGCATATGTTATTTAGACACAAGTTCATTTGTGTGCACATATATTAACATATGCATTATTGTAATCTAATACTTTTCTAATGTCATTTTGAATATGTATTTGTAATTATTAATTAAATGTTTTCTGTTTCCAATTTACTTATGTAAAATATGATATATGTACATATGTGCAAATATAATAATATATATTAGCTCAATGTCGTTTATATATGATCAAGTTAATCAAAAGATAACACAAAGTATAAATATAATATTTACAAAGAAGAACTCACAAGCAAAAATACCATAACGCTGAAATACCTCCGATTTACCTAAACTTCTTTTTGTAAAACTGTTTTAACCCAAACATAAATTGATGTATGTCAGTGTATGAAGTTGTATGTTCCAAGTGCGTATATTCAAATATGCATTAACATATATATATATATTGATTGTTATTTAAAAATACTAAAGATATGCTTAAATCAACGAAAGTTTAATGAGAGTAATAAAAACACTATCAACCTATGGATATAAACCCAATCTCTACCCGACATATTCAAACATATTTACCTATTCACTTCATGATGTGTATAATATTATATGTGAAAAAATATATAAATTATTGAGTGAATAAATACACACAAAAAAAAGGAAAAACTGTATTTTGAGTGCTATTTTTATTCTTAAAATTATATTGATTTTATTTCGGATTCATCGTTAAGAGAAACCAAAGAAAGTAATCAGCTGCTTGTTTACAGACCAACAGCTAAAAACTGGCTACCCAGCAATTTTATTAAATGACATATTTTCATACTAAACAAATAGGTTGTGAATAGTTTACTAGTAGAGCTTATAGGGAGTATTCATTTCAAATTTGGGCAATATAGCTCGAAAAATGTGGTCAGAATGGAGGTAACCATACCACCTTCTTGAATTTGTATTGAATTCATGTAAACACATTATAATATATTTATATGGCTTGACTTTGTTACATATATATTTTGCATATCTCCTGCATTTTTCACAACCAAATGAACTGCTTGCTGATTAATATGCGAGCACTGCTTGCATAGACCAAAACAAAATTGTAAGTAGCTGCACAATGATTGTAAAACTGTGCGATATGCAAAACAGAAGGCTGTCGATTGCATGCTAATAACTAATAGATATGAATTCTCACTTTGATTCCCACAGAATGACCCCAAGGCAATTAGTAGTATACAAATATTATAATATACACTTAGTATAATACGAATTTATACCTAAGTTGCACGACATTCTTAACAAATTTAAATACGACCCTCTGAGGTTGTAAAACAAATTGGCAACTCTGTTTGTCCAAAGCAGCTGCCGCGCGCATGCGAATTCCCGTCCGTTAAATGTTTTGCAAGCGCAGTCGCAATGCCGCCGCCGTGAATGGATCAACGCGAACGCGCATTTTTGAGACGCAAGTGATGCCACATTTTGATTTGGCGTGAAGAGAATTAGAAAATAAGCAATACGCTCTTGAGCGCCGCGGCGTGTAACCCTTCGGCGAATCGTTAAGAAATGTCATCGAGCACAGTAAAAGTTATTGATGAGAAAGCAAATTGATTATATTGTGATACATGCGTATCATGCCTGTGCATGTGCCGCTCTCCGTTGCCGCAAAAAACTGAGGCTGTGCCCGTGCTGTGGTTTTGTTGTTCTTTGAGCGAACGGAGCGGCGCGTAGGCGGCCAAAGTGGCAGTTATGGCCATAAATACAAATATGTACGTACCCGCCAGCAGGTATTGAATAAAAAATGCTATTAAATGTCATTTATAAATATGTTCAGAAACTGTGGCAAATAGATGTGCAATACACGGGCGCTAAAGTTCTGGCCAACGACAGCCTCAACCTACGACTGCAAAGCCGCTGATTACCGATGGTGATGTAAGCACGTCTGCCGTCTGATTTCGAGAATGTAAATAGTAGCCGAGTTTATAGCCAACTACAACCAATGACAGCATATTTTGTAAACTTGCCCACCCACTATCCATATTCAACTTCTCTACTTTATTCAGTTAAGTGCATGCGAACACACTCGGATGTGCATCATACTCTTTGCCACTGGAGTGCGGCTATAAAGTGTACCCAGACAAACCAAACAATACTCATACTTAGAAAATAAATATTTCCTATATATGAGAATCATTTCCTAAAAAGGTTTTCTTTTGCATTAGTTGAAATTGTGCGAAACAAATTGCCCAAAAGCCAATACTCCACGAAAGTATATATGTACATATAACCGACAAAAACGAAAACAAAAAATAATAATCGAAAGTGACCGACTTGAATATACCCCGTTCTTAAAGACTTGATGACAAGAGTTCGAACAAGCAAGCAGTGCACCTTAAGCAGCGGCAGTGCTTCTCCTTCCTTCCCCTTGCCACTAACTATAGAATATGCATTCTTAAATAACATAAATGTTTATAATCCGATCTTTATGATGTGTTTAGCGTCAAGACATAGTAATTATTCAGTCAGTCTTCTAGTTCAGTCAAGACAAACTCGTTTGTATATCTACAAGCTAGTTTTAACGGCATTATCCGATACTATTTTTTAAATGATATTTAAAAGTGAATTGAAATTAAATCATTTTCCACCTTTTTACCCACAATCGCTAAAAAGGATTCTTATATTGGGCTTTGAAAATAAGTTTGAAGCCGATCGACCCCCATTTCCACTAAGGAGGGATGGATTCTCTGAAAAAAACTTTAAAAATGAGTTTAACGCCGATCGATTTAAGCGTTTAAACGGGAAGTCTGCGAACTTGGATATCCTTTAGTATGTAAATACTTTTAAACGTCTTTATATGTACAAATACAAGCTAGTATCAGTTTTAAATGGCTGTGTGTAAACTACAAATGCATTGCCTCAGTACAGCCGCGGAATAACAAGTATACGACCCAATGTATTTTCGTATTAAATGAAACCACTATGACCCATATTTGCTCACACACGTGCATGCATATGTACATGAATGAGTGTGTATTTAGATATGGATAGATCCCGAAATAAACGAACACAGTCATCTATTTTGAGGGCATTTTTCCTTTTCCGAAATTAATAAGCCCCGAGATACTACACCAATACACCTACGCTGCTCTAACACACACACACACACAAGCACACACACGAAACCAGACGCAAGACGAAACTGAGTTGCCCTAACTTGAAGTCTCGCACGGATCTATTAATAATCGCGATCATCTGAGCGAACACCTATGCGTAGAATCAAGAACTTGGGATACTCGGACACCTTGAATGCTGCAGCTGCTGTATATCTTACTTTGAATTTGAAATTGAAACTGATCGAATATGTTATGCCCTGCAATAGGTAAACATATCCATTTATAGGAACTAGCATCGCAGTATGTAATTCCATACATGTGTATTTTGGCTGATCTACCTGCAGATGCCTATTTCATCCAAATATGTTGATAAAAGCATCACGCTTTCGCTTTCGATGAAATGCAGACTAGTAAACAAAAACAAATAGTTCATGAATGAATTGAGGCAAGACGACTTTTCAATATTTTTCTATTTATCCGACGTGTTTTTTGCTTTTGCATTGCGTTGTTGGAGGGTTGGGGTTGGCTGGCTGGTTGGTTGGTTTATGGCCGCAAAGCAGAGCGGCGGCAACAAGTTGAATTTTTCTAAAAATGAATACACGAAATATCTTCGTCTTTGGCGTTAAATACGGCCACGACAACGCACCGCAGCCCGATGAATAGAAAGAGCGGCAAAA